ATGTTGCTGCTGATCTGTTTCATGTTGCTGCTGATCTAATTCATGTTGCTGTGTTCATTCATGCTCATCTGCTCACACAGACTCATGTTTGTTCTGCTGTTTGGCGTATTGTTTTAATGCTATTAGTGCTTAGTTTATTATTTAGTTTATGTTTTTCTTAGTTCATATTTTAGATCTTATTACCGTTTTTCTTTTCCATTTTATTGCGGGATGTAACTGGGACCCTGTATACATCATTTCGCTCCACCATATATACCACATATAGTGTGTATAACAAATAAATCTCTCTGAGTCTAACTCTGACAATACAATATAAAGGTACAATCCTTACTGGTTTATTTTTAAACACTAAGCTAACATGTATCTGTACTCTATAGTCACAATCTTTAATCGTATTCTTCATCATTTCAAATAAAAATTTGCCTGGAAGTTATTTGCATGCAAGTACTTTGAGCTTTGTAAGTAAAACATTTGTTATATAAATATGTCATCTATTTTTGGTAACATAAGTCTGTTTGTCAAAAAACAAAAAAAATGCTCGAACTCACCCACATCTAGGAACAATTCAGAGTAACCAATCTAAAATGCATGTTTTTGGTCTGTGGGAGGAAACCAAAGTATTTGCAGAAAATCCACCCATGAACAAGAAGAGCATGCAAACTCCATCCAGAGGGGACTCGGGCTGAAAGATGATCATACAACCATTTTTGTTGAGAGCTCTAACTACAGCTCCACAATGCTGTCCTATCTGCAATGTCCTGAAGACATTAAGAGAACCACATTATTTGCAAAAAGTGGAGATGAGACCATGAGGTTCCCATACCAGACACCTTCCTTTCTACAACTGCTAAGATGCAGATTCAGCTCTTGCTACAAGGACTGAATGTCTCCTTAAAGAGACCCTGGACTCATACTCCCACATCACCCCTCAAAGAGTGACCCAGGGAACACGGTCATAAACTATTCTCCAAGTGTACACAACACATGTAGACTGGAGAGTCAAAAGTCCTTGACCCCTCATAACAGCGCTGAAAGGGTGAAGATCTGGTCCTCTGGTCCTCTGGTCCTTGGCCAGGACAAAAGCCATTATGCTTCTTTTGAATCTGAGGTTCCAACACCATGGAGGAAACTTTTTGAGTGCTCAATAGTTGCAACACAATCTCTGATCCTCTATTTTGAAAAATGGGACCCACTACTCTGTTCAGTCACTACACACATGTTGTCCTGTCCTCCGTGTGACAATGAAGCTATGTCTCAGCCATGACAGCCCCACAGTGTCCAGAATGTTTGCCATCTCAGGGGAAATATCATCCCCCTCTGGCTCCCTTCCATTCATATGTTTTAAGTACCTCGGTAACTTCTGACATGAAAATGGTCTCATCTAGAGTACTCTGCCTTCTCAAAGGAGGATATAGTAGAGACTGGATTAAGGAAATCCTTAAAGTACTTCTTCCACCATCCAACATTATCCTCAGTCATCAGTTCACCACCCACACCAAGCTCAGCCTGGGCTGGAGCCCACTCTCCTTTTCAGAGTCACTAAAATGTTTGCCAGAAACTCCTCAAGGCATGCTCAGTCTTTCTATATGG